AATAAAACTATGGTGTGATGATTACTGATGATTAATCGCGAAGTACTACCCACGCAACTGTGTGGGGGGACTTGAGAAATCAATAGGAAATATGGCAGCTGGTTCGGAGTCAGAATTCAAGACAGGTTTCTCAAGAAAGGATGCTGGTCCGAAACAGGCGTGCTGCTGACAAAAACCGGGTAACAGCAGCCCGACCTAAAGAAAGATCATAAACATTAAATAACGGCGATTACCGTGTGAACGAAATTAAAGATACTGAAATGTACTACGCCAGCAATTTGTTAAGCATTCAACTCGAAAACCACAGAATGCACGCAGAATGTTGGTGGGGGAAATCTCTCGGAAAACTTCTACTTCAGTCCCAGCAGCAAAATGCAGACAGAGTTCCTTAAACTATGACAGATCCCACCCTCTCAAGCAAATGACAAAGCACACGGACTGAACAAATCCACCCACGTCTTCGTCTGCTGATCAGCGTTAAATGAAATAAGATGTTGGAATCGCGGATTAGAATCCCGCTCAAGGAATGGATGTTTGCCAGCGTCTTTCAGTGATTTGCTGTCCCGTGTAGAAAGTGGCCAATTTCGGAAGTAATTCTGAGTTGGAAGAGGCCGTAAGGCGAAATTGATGATGATGAACACGAAGGGAATGAGAAGGACGGCTGATTTGAAAATAAAATCCGAGGTTTGCTTGCAACTACCGAGTAGAGCCAGATTGATTTTACGAACTTTAATGACTTATCTACTTAAGGGAGCATTCAGGATAAGAGGTCCAGCATAAGAAATAGAAAATCCAGTCCATAACAAACTGCGCAGCTGCCAAACGATGTTGCAAATGCAGTCCATATACGAGGTGCGATCGAAAGGTTTCCAGACTGCGCGTATAAAAACCCGTACACTTATCTCAGGTATTAAATTCATCCATCACCCTCGAAGTAGTTCCCCTGGGAGTGAACACAACGATCCCAGCGCCACTGCCAAGCCTGGAAGCATCCCTGGAAATCTTTCTTTGCCAGCCTGTCAAGCACCATCTGCGATTCTGCCTGAATCTCTTCTATCGTCTCAAATCTCCTTCCCTTGAATTTTCATCTTTCGGAAGAGGAAGAAGTCACACGGAGCTAAATCCGACGAATAAGGAGGGTGCGGGATGACGACCATGGTGTTTGAGGCCAAAAACTGCCGAACTTTGAGGGCGGTGTGCGCTGGCGCGTTGTCATGATGCGTCGCATGGGGAGTTCTTCGTTTAGAATCAGCTGACAGGTCCCATAGCCTACCCCAACAATGTCGCACAAGTCGTTGATGGTACGACGTCGATCTTCGTAACATTTTCGGGCGTTGTGCTCGAAGATGGTCGTCCAGAACGCTCGTCATCATCGACAGAGGTTCGGCCATTTTTAAAACGTGAATGCCACACAAAAGTTGGTGCACGACCCATTGCGGACTCCCCAAATGCTTGCTTTAGCATTTCATAGGTTTCCGTAGCCGTTTTGGCGAGTCTTTGGCAAAATTTGATGCACACGCCATTCCTGAAATCGCAGGAGGGTCGGTGTAATGCACTACCAAAACGCCCGTAACTAAGAAACAAATGCTAATTCGATGATGCCGGCTGGCACACTGATTCACTATGAATGTAGGCCGCACCCCCTAGCGGCAGAAGCTCGTACTACATCCGGTTCGCCCTCTATTGACACAGTCTTGAAACTTTCCGATCGCATCTCGTACAAATGAGAGCAGCTAGCACAATTATTACGCCAAAAACTCAAGTAATTCCTATTCGGAAAAAGCACCAGTTTCTGTGAAAGTAACTTCGGCTACTCGTGGTCCCTGGCAAAGGAGAGAAACTCAGAAAGCGAAGAGATGCTACAGGCCCAGTACCTCTTGATCCGCTTATAACCTTTGCAGTGGGGGATCTTAGGGTTCAGGAGACCTCTACCAGACTATACGACGCTACAACCCAGAAGAGAGACATCTTCGGACTCAACGCCGTGTAAACCTCAAATCCTACAAATTTATTAGAGCTTCTGTGAATGAGATCTTTATGGTGGAGACACCAACATTGATTTTAACTCAGGATTACTACTGAGGCACTAAATCCAAATCTTTACACGTTTTGTCGTCATTTTATAAGCAATGTTACGTAAAATAAATAAGATGACAAGTAGTGTAGCATCTGTCGTGTTATGTTGATTCTTGGTTTTTCTGGCTCGTCACTTTTCACACACTGTCCGTTCACTTGAACACGTTTCGGTTCAATGTGGCCATCATCAGGTTCACGGCATGAAGATCATTCCTCTTGTTAGCCTTATAACCGACGTGTGCGTCATCACAAGTGTTTTTTTTACGTTATTCCGACTGCTTTCTTTCTTTATATACGGAAAGACAATATATCCTGAATAGAACGGTAACGCGCATTTCCCGACTTTAATTGGATCTTCATTTCCTCGTGGATGGAAAGAGAGAGAGAATTTTGTCAAATCTTAGAAGGACTTATTATCTGTCTTTCATTTCAGTAAATTCCTGTATTCAGAATGCTCCATAAAATTGGTTTCTTGGACTTTGACTATCGTCTAAATTATAAATAAAATCACGTTTCGGAAGCTGGATCTGCTTCCGTCTTCAGGAAAAAGGACATCTTTTTAAAAATATCTCTCTTCCAGACGTAGTTTCCAAAGGCTTTCGAAACAACAACTCAGTTGTAGGATTTGAGGGTTTCACGGCGGTGAGTCCGAAGATGTCTGTCTTCTCGGTTGTTGCGCCGTGTAGTCTGGTAAAAATTTACCGACGTTTCAGACATCCTCACTGCCTCCATCATCAGGACGATGGTGGCAGCAAGGAGAGAAGACGATGGGGCATGGAGAAAACTCCATAATGATGACCTTAAAATTTTGTACTCCTCCCCCAATATTGTCAGGGTGATTAAGTCGAGAAGAATGAGATGGGCGGGGCATGTAGCGCGCATGGATAGGACAAGAGGTGTGCACCGGATATTGGTCGGGAAGTCTGCTCTCCCTGTCAATTCTTCCTACTAAAATTTGTATGCCTTCATCTGCCTCGCCACCAATCTCATCATCTCTGAATATATCACCGTAATAACATCTGATGAAGAGAACATGTTAGGAAGCTGTTCATTACGCAGTTGTCTCCAGTCTTCCTTTACACTCTCTCTCTCTCTCTCTCTCTGAGGGCCAATATTCTTCTCATCACTGATCTCAGTCCTTGAATCCATGTTCTTCCCCTTGGGCGAAAGACAGGAGTTTCACATTAAAACATACCAACAGGTAAAATTATAGTCTTTATGGGGCTTGAATACAAAAAAGTTTCTGCACAAATTAAAAACGCGTGCATTTGAAACCGAGTTGATTAGGGTTAATTTATTATAGTAATCTATAATTACTGGTTTAAATATCTGTAATTTTACGTGAAAATTTGACATCGCACACAGATGATGCATACTTCTTCAAAATATCAGGATCCAGTACTTAAATCGGGGGGGGCAGATCACTTACTGACAAAACCGTCATCACTTTCACGAACGAAATGACTCCCGGTCGGAAAGCCACAAGAGAAGTTTCTATACCTCATAAATTTTTAAACAGATATAAATTATTCACTCACCAACTACTTTATAGATGCACCAGAAGGCATAAAATAACAGGTAAAACATAACAGACTCATTCGGACAGGTTATCTGAACTCATAGTGGTGGCCATGCTATGCCAAGACACGCACTAAACTTACACCTCGACTTAGGTACAGCAAATGAAAACAGTATATTAGTACTTGAGACTAATTGAATTTCCATCGAGATGTCTTTTTCGTCTATTCTGTTTATTGTTTGCACGAGGTAACGAAAATTAATCTAAAACTAAACTACACTGTATTGGCACGTACACTCCAGCATTGATAAATCTAAAAAAAATAGTAGATAAGAATATTCGTGTATTCTGGGATAATGCGCCTTCTTCTAGATCACACGGTGCAATATCCCAGAAGACAGTCTTCATACTCACGGCCGTGAGAACCTGAAATCTCGTCAAACAGTAGAGATACTACATTCCACTGTGGCTTAAATTGTGTTTGCATAATGTGAAGAATATACGAAATTCCGAAAAGTGTTTAAAATTGAAGTCCAAGACGTTAAATAAACCTACATGTTACATCACGAACCCAAGCGCCATTTTATGTTAAGTTCCTGACAAATGTCAACAAGGTTCGATTTGAACTGCAAGAAAAGTAGAGGTTATGGCGGACTGACACTAACCAAAATTAAATCTGCCCGTCAACATCCAATATTAGACCGCCATTTATACCAAATCTCTTGGAACTCGGGTGCTTTGGGAAGACGAAACACAATGACGGGCAGATATCACGCCGGACCCCACAATGCTCATATTATGAAGTATACAGGAAGGCAGGTGGGTTAAGCAGCGACAGCTGACAACACCTGGCACGCACACCCTGACAGTACAGAAAGCAGGCAGGCCAACCTTGCCAGCATGTGCCTGCCACACGTTCCCATTCACTGGAAACATCTGCTCGCCATAATAGCAATGCAACACACAACTGTTGCTACCACGATATCCCCATACATGGCTACAGGCTTCCCGATCTGTCGCTGTGTTAACGAACAGACCTTTCAAAATTAAGAAAATTCAGGGGACACCAATAGAAGGCGACTAAGGGGTCAACTATCCCCCCCCCCCTTCTTCTGAAATGCTTGGAATGACTTATGAAACAATGTTCTCCAACACAATTTAGGTGCAGAAAAAGACTTAATGATGAGACCAACACCCTATGAAGCATATTAACAGATGCCCCAAAAATATGTATATACAATACAATATGGAATATTAACCTTGTTATCAATCCCCATGTGTTATGTTCAAGGAAGATGTGGAAGGTAGTTATTTTGAACACCTGCACTAGATTCGCTAATCCACCAAGCGCCAATGCTAACGTATGTAATCCTGTAGTTTATTAAAATATACTTATTTCACTCACTGAATGTGTGTATACATCTTTTTGGGTCATCCTGCAAGACAGCCGTTTGAATGTTCAAGGTGAAATGAAAACAGACGATGCCAAACGCTGGAAAAGAAAACCAAACAGTTCCTACTTCTTTAAAATCAATTTTAATATTATCCTTACCATCTATGACTACGCCTCCCAAGTGACCTCTTTCTTTCCGGATTTTCAATTCAAATTTTGTATGCATTTATCACCTTCCCCATACACGTTACATAAACTTTTATTCAACTTAAACTTAGTTCCTTTGATTTTCTCATGTTACTCGGCTTTACTGCAATTCAGAACTACAAGGCTGGACAAACTATAATCACATTAAGCCACTTAACAAGCGGTATACAGATTGTGGATAACGTACTGCAGGAAGGAATTTCTTAACCAGGAACACAATTGTATTAACTGTTCAAGCAAGAATGACAATATATTTAACTAACTAGATGACTTACGGAACCCGAAGGTTCATCACCGAATTAACCAAAGCCCTCCACCGGACCCTGTCCTGGGCCAGCAAAATCCAGTCTCCTTCAACTCCTATCTCCCATTGATCCCTCCTGATATTATCCACCCATCTACGTCTAGGTCTCCCCAGCGGTCTCTTCCCCTCAGGCTTCCCAACCAATACCCAGTGCACACCTCTTGTCCCATCCATGCACGCTACATGCCCCGCCAATCTGATTCTTCTCGACTTCACCCTGACAATACTGGGGGAGTACAAATTTTTAAGTTCGTCATTATGTAGTTTTCTCCATGTCCCATCGTCTTCTCTCCTAGGCCCAAATATCATCAAACACCTGCAATTTGTGTTCCTCCCTGAGAGCGAGAGATGCAAGACTGTATAACATAAAGTCAGTTTTGGTACTTGGTCCAAAAAAGATGTGCTATATTATGTGTAGCATATAAAGAACAAAAAATCCCAAAGCACGAATTATTAATTTTAATGTCGGAACCTTTCTACAGAGTTTATTTTGAACCAAACCATATCTGCCTAGGATAGTAACTATGATATACGTTACAAACCACATGTGACAATAGTGTCATACATTATCATACTGGTACCATGATGTTTTTACTATTGGCTGCAACAGAGAAACTCAGTCCAACAAGAATTGCTCATTGCCTCAGAAAAGTAATATGGACTGCAAACAGCAGTATTTATGGAATGATCTGTTATTTAAGAGACAGTACAGAAATGTACTCGGCTGTAACTTGACTGTGTAACATATTTAAAATAGTGATTGATACTCTTGGGTGACAGCGTGAATTTTCATTACTGATAAGACCAAGCCCACCACTGGGCACCGTCATTATTCCGTTCAGCTAAGATCACATTGTCACAAACTACTTGTTAATACACATTTCACTGCCAGTACCCTAAACCCAAGAGACTTTTTAACGCGAGGTTTGTACAATAAAATTCTGTATGCATTTGTCTCCCATAAAAATTAAATTATGTTCTATATAAAATAACATATCACACTTTCACTCTCTCAGAAAGAGTTTAAATTTGACAGTACATTAAAATATAAAAAGCTATGGATTAAGCCTTCTGACCCATTCCAATTCAGAAATACTTCCGAAATTATTAATCCACGGACATTTAGTGTCATTCCTTGGACAGCTAATCAGCCATATACGGCCTCTACCTACAAAGGTCAGCATGACACAAAAGATTATAAACATCCATACCCTCAATGAGATTTGAACCCAAAGTACCACTACTCCATAGTAAACCATGTAGCAATGTGATTAGCAAGTAAAAAAGTTAAATAAACAATCTGATTTCTATTATATTAATCCCAAAACAAATTTCTAATAGTTTTAATCTCTCCTTACCTTGAAGAATTCAAGTTTTGCAACCAGAAAAAAGGGTAACAAAATTATACCTTAACATATTGTCTTTAATTTTCTATAAATCTAATGATAACATGCACATTTCTGAACTAAATTATAATAACAACTTATTCTCTTAATTGCATCAAAATCCCCCGTTAATTTGATCTAAGAACTACCATAAAAAGAGCTAGAAAACTGCATTGTTGATTGGTCATCTCCATAATACTTGTAAATAATACCATGATAATGATGTGACTTCCAACATAACACGGTCCATCCTCAAGTTGCAGGCAACCTTAGGATATGGAAGGCAACTATGAATATACCTCCAGTTTAAGGGTTAATAACCAACTGCTAGAAAGAAATAACTTTTTTTGTAATTCCTCAGATTTCTGGTATGATCTACAAGTTGAACTCACAAAAGATAGAATCTTAAAATTAAACATATAATGACTTACGAAGCCCTGACAGCAGGGTATGTCTTGACCCAAATATGCTGAATAACTGTAAACTATGAACTTTGGGTTTGTTACTTACATAAATGACATCTCTCATGCACAATTATAAATCACTATATTGAGTGTAAACTGTATTGTGGTTATAAATTGCACACAAATCTGTACATGCTGAGAAGCCAGAAAAAAAAACAATTAAATATACCATCAAATGCACAATTTCAATCCCAATATTTTCCTTTCATATCTATGAATATTATGAAAATCCTTCTTACCCTCTTTACAGGAGTCTTATGAGATATCACAAGGTTAGGAAGTTACTACACATACAATATATATATAGGAAAACAATTAAGTTCCTGTTGGAACTGCGAAGTCAATTTTTTTTCAAAGCATACAAGTGAAACTTCAGCAAACATAACTCAAGGAAACAACTGATCAACACGTATGGTGTGCAATGCGTTTGTTGGGGAATCGAGTACATATGAATAAAGTGCAGGCACATGTACATAAATAAAAATGCTTAAATTATTTTGAGCTTAAAAACTAGTAACACTGAAACAGGGCACAAAGCTGTCACCAAACTTTTTACTCTTAAACGTTGCACAGTTTGAAATGCGTAGCGAGGAAAACAATTAAATTAAAAAAGAGGAAAAGGCTGTTTCTTTACATGTCTACAACAAACACTACATTCTTAGAAAACAACACACTTAACCTCAGTTAAACTGCCCACATAAATATTTGAATTCTTTCCTGAAAATCAGGTCCTTCATCAGCAGACATAATATGTTATTATACTTAAATTTTGCTTCAAAGCTGTGTTTCGCTTAATATAATGTCTACGATATAAAAGACCCACTAATGAGGTTTAAAGACCCTCATCCCATCGTTTTATCAATTCTAACAAATTCTTACACACTCGAATAATCTACTTATTGAGAGTAAGTCGGCGTTTACTTACTTCTGGTAACTTCCAGATGAAACAGTGCTGTCAAAACATGGCCCACAATTACTCTTTACAAACGTCAACTCAATTGCCCTATTGTTTGTTTGTCGGCAAACTTTAACCACGCGCCTTCATCCCGTAAGCCTTTGAACACAATCAGCACATCCCTCTGTCCAATAACATTAATTTTGCGCTGTCACACCGAAGAATACGAGAAGGCACATTCACCCTCCTAATTAAAAGTACTACCGCTTCCGCAAAACTTCAACACACTACGATTTCTTCACACTGAACGTCGGCTACACACTCTCAAGCAACAGGTTGCCATCTTGAAATTGTAGAAGTGGGGAAAGACCAACTCTTGATTGGACAAGTCAACGTGAATCTACGAATGGAAACACAACATACCAGCGCCAAAAATGAATTCAAGCTGGATGTTTATTACGAGCAGCACTTTTAGAAGTAAATGTGCTCACAAATGCCATTATTATAAAAACATAAGCATATACTAACGATATTTCAGCAGTTGTGCCCTGTAATTCGAATTATGTTTTTTTTTTTTTTTTGGGGGGGGGGATGGACAGTAGCAAGACTGTCTCATTAAACACGAACTTCCAAGAACTCCTATTTTTATATGAAAAAGTTTAGAATGAAGGTTTATGATCTAGAATCAGAACATAATTGTGGAATTCTACTTGAAGTAACTGAAGATCAGGATTTGGAAGAAGACTGTGATTAATTAAATAAAAATGGCTTTGAAGAGTTGTGTAGTTCCCCTGAAGTAGACAGCTTTGTCCTGTTTCATCCCCAGATTAGTAACAATAAAAATAAGAAGTTTTTTTTTATATGAGAAAAATTCTGTTACCCAAGGATGATGATGGGAACTTCAAGTTTCTTACCTGAGGAAAAGTAACAAAACGGGTATGAAATTACTTTTTCCTCCTGTAAAAGATATCACATGTTCCACAAATAATGACATGTATGTGCTGCCAAAGCCTACTGAACAAGGAGTAACCAAAAGACAAATCATACTTTGTATTTGGAATCAATTTTCATTCTATTATCAATTACAAGAGTGGATAAGTAAGTGTATAATTTGTCATTATATCATGGAAATACATGGTTATGTTAAGCATTTATAATAAATACCTACTCCTTTTTTTTGGGGGGGGGGATATATATATATCTATATGTATATACGCTTTTTGTCAAACTTGCTTGACTGGTTCATTGTACCTTAAGTGTGAGTCACAATGAACAATTTAACCATTTTATACTTAGAAAGCAATGCAACTTGAAAACAGTATTTAATAACTACATTCATATTAAAATATTTCATATCTAAATGACTTTCAAACTGTGTAAACCACAATCTTCTATTTGAATTTCAGAAAATTTAGCATCGTAATACCTTTTCCTGATCCAATGTGCCCCACATTCCCTGCCACTGCTGCTGCAAACAGTCATACACTAAAATCATTGAAAGAACACACAAAGAATGGTAACAGGATGTTTGCTAACTGTATGGTCACCTTTAAAATCAGTCACATGATCTAAACATAATTAGGATGGCCATATAAACAAATGTTTATAGACATGGTAACATCAAAAACTTACAGAACTGAACAGTCCCATAACCTTGCAATTGATTTTTATAATAAAGTCAGCTGAAATTAATGTATGTATACATTTTTATATAAGCAGTTAATTTATTTGTGTTATAGATATATTTCCTGGCACATTCCACCAAATTATAAATTCACTTGTAAAACACTTTGCATTTATATGACTACACAAGTCAACATATTAGTTCTTTTAACTGTCTGTTACATTAATAAACTTAACATGATAATATAGTATTCAATGCAGTCACCGTCTCCCACAGACATGGAATCATAACGCCTTTCAAAAATTTATTTTTATGACAAATGAAGTTTCTTCCTGCAGCAACCATTCACAAACAAGATACTTTCAAGAACTGATGGTGATTTGATACATTTACATACAAATACTGTTCTTATATTACACAAGTGAGAAATACAAATTCATTCTGGGGTGAGGGGACAGGGATATGTTGAGATAAATGAGCCTCTTTATAAAAACATGGTGTACAGTAGTGATGGGGGCATTGCTTGCTACTTGAAATGCAACTGAGTATGTGTCTTACTTAATGAAATGATATCCAGAAGTTTGGAATACAATATTACATTTACTTTTGTAAGTATTATTACACCAACCTAAGTAGAGGTTAACACTTAATTAGGTTTGACATATTTTAAAATATACTATAAGCAATGTACATCATACATTTGTTCATATAATTTTTATCGTCTCATTCTAAGCTTAGTCGTGCATAATTATTTGCAACATACATACATAATGAAAGCTTATTCATTCTAAAATTCATAACTCTATTTAGCCTCAACTTCTATGGTATTACCTGCATACTTCCTTTGTTCTTTATAAACGTGAAAATAAAATCTACATGTATTACTAAGAAAGACTATTTAGTACTCTCTGCTGTCACATTACAGATTTCAGTGATTGAGCATTAGACTAGAAAAATAACATCGTTTTATTTCTACAGTATATACCATTTAATTACTTCCCAAGTTTGAAGCTTCAGGTTGTAGACTTGGTAAACTACTTCTGATCAGTAATGTAAATAGAAAATTACATGGCGGCCAGTTTCTGGACTGGATACTGACAAAATATGATATGAACACCTTTTAGTAATTTAAACATATTCATATAAACACAAAGTTGACTACACTAATAAATGGCAAACCCTCTCTCCTCCCTAATATATTTTGGTTTCATTTAGACAAATCGAGAAACATCATCAGATCTAATTATGCAACGTGTGCAAATTAGAAGGTGCAAATGCTATCTACTTACACATAATTGAACAGATTTCAGCCTCATATATCTAAAGCACTTCTCATGATTGTTATTATGATAATGTAAAAACAATTATTTACACAGTATGAAGGTAAATATTTTTTCTCAGTCACACTCATGGAAGGACAACACCCATACCCATCCATTTTCATTAATGAAGAGATCTTGCAAATTGGTACATTTAAATAGTGGTTTTACAGTCGGGCATTTATTTGAGGAAAAATGAAGAATTTACCTATATATTTTCTGCATATGAAATATTATTCTGTGCAAGAAGTTATTTTTTATAACCACCTTCCTTGATCATAGTAGAATAATTTTAACATTTTAATCAGTTTTGAGGACAGAATGGAAATAAGCACAAATAATTTTGGTTGAACTCTGCAGATTCAATACAAGTCCCTGTGAATTCTGATAGAAGATAAAAAGTGACTTGCAGGATGTTTAACCTTTATTACATAATCAATTCTTAAGGGCTCTGACAATGGTGTAATACAATCTGGGTTGTTGGGTTTTTGGACCTTGTCTGTTGTCAAAAAATACACAATGTTTTGAGGACTGGATGTGACCTTGTCTTCAGGTGTAGTGAAGGGGGCACCTACTCTGTGGGATCTGTCAGAATGAACTAATCCCAGTCACTAAACTAGTCAAGTGGACAGGTCCAGTTCTTGAAACATTATGTTTTATAACATCAGACGATGAACAAGGTCCAAAAGCCCAAGAATACAGATTTTATTATATGTGAACAGGGAATTTAAATCCTCACACTACAGGGATGCCGGCTAGACTTAAACTCTGGGATTGACTGTTTAGTGATATGTTTGTGTAAAACACGGCCAGCAGGACTGCGAGTGAGCTGCATCAAATGAAAAATAAAACTTACTGGTATGTGCTGATTCTCCCTGAAGTTACAGATGGCATACAAATGTTACAAAAATATTTTGTGTCACTGCAGAGGCTTAGTATGTGCAGAGCCTGAGGAAAAATGTAAAACAGATGACATCCTTTATATTACTTTTTAAAATCTGTATTATCACTTTGACTTCAGTAACTAACCCATTTATGCACAGTAATTAAATTATATTAATAATTATAGATTTTACGAAAATTATAATAAAAAATTTTCATAGAAAATAATGCATGAACTTCTTTTTATAGGTATCACTAAACAATATAAATGTTTACCTTAGGAAACCTAAAAAACAAATGTATTTTATAGAAAGGCTACAAAAATTCATTTCTAAGAAAACATGTCATGATACATACAAGTGAACGAAATTGACTGGGCCTACTATAACATGACTGCATACACTTCGTACACGGAAATACTACTTTATATAAGTATTGAATGGTAGAAATTTGTTTTGCTTTTGCTTTGCCTATTCTCTGAAGTGTTTACAAGAAGATACACCAAGTCCCAATAGCAGAATCTGCCTCTAATATTCTTGAACTTGTAGAATAAAGTGGGGCAGACGCAACATGAACTATGAAAGCTGAGCAAATATGAATGGCAAACCCATCCTGCAGGAAGGCAACTGTGATAGGCAGCAAGGTCTATTCACAATCATAGACACACATTCCTGATCCACATGCTACAAACTGTATCAGTACTGGTGCTTTTTGGCATCATAAACTCTGGAAGACTTTTTCTTAAAAACTGCTCTTGGCACGTCCATCCTAATATTTGGAATTCCTCAATTTCCAATCTGATTTACAAGTCAATTAGCATCCACGGTTTCTTCTGATCATTTGTGACGAGCGAAAAATAAGGGCAGAGAAATAAGAAATTCTTTGATTTTTCCACTGATATTCTCTCCCACTCTGTTTTTGATTTCTTCACAGATGAAAAGTAACTTTGTAACTGGCATGAGTATGCTGGCCTCTTTTAATGTGACACTTACGTTTTTGAATACTGGGAAGTAGAAAAAATGTACAATAAAATGTAATTTGATTCCTTCTGTTTGTCACTGTGTAAATAACCTGTTGCATTGTTTAACTTTGACTCTTTTCACATGTGAACGATTTAAGAATTGTGGATCGTAATGACCCACGTCTCCACTGTGTATATCTGACATGTAAGAGAAAGTATTTTATGTCTTGCAAGTTGTGTGATGGAAAAAAGGTTATTGAAATTGCGACAGAATGCGCAAGTATGGTTTCTCTTACATAGAAAATGACTGGTAAAGTAAGTCAACATTTGTTGGCCTCGTATAAGATACTCTAACACAAGTCATGAAATACATTCTATTAAACAGTTACAAGTAACAACCTGTACATTTTACTGTAATGAGATTGGAAAGATATATTCTACATTGAGCACAATGAAATTCCAAGACATTCTTCATATCACAGGTGATAGCATAATCAAGGCAACAAAGGGAATATGAATTACTACAATGAAATAAAACGCAAAAATTGTATCCAATATCATAGCTGCATTAATATGATTCAAGGTCATTGTTACAAGGCAAACCAACAAATGATCTGGTTCATAATGTAACAATGCATTCAATGACTTTGAGTCACACTGTTGCAACAATGTACTCCAACAATTACCTCTGGTCATGGCAGTGCCTAGTTCCAAAGAAAATTGCCACAGACAGACATGGACAGGTCATATGGCGTTCTTTCCTCATGCTAGAACATGAAGAAGACAATAAAAGTAGAAACATCAGTAATTCTATTGTCACCATATGATCTCATGTTGAAGATGTGCACATTAATGTAGAGGTATTAAATAATGTCAAAAGCTGAACAAAGACATGATAAGAATGAAATTTAATCTTGGTGAGCTTACAAACAGAACTTTCACAGCTGTTTCTGCCATAAGGGAATTTTGAAAAAAATTGAATCAGATATTTATTTCACAGGTTCTTTGAAATTTCTTCACTACTGCCATTTGTGTTGAACTGAACCTGACAACACAGTTCACATTTTATGGCTCAAAATCGTAATTTTTAACATTTAAAATATTTTAATTTATTCAGAACTACAGTATTCCCTCTTACATGTATTTAAGAACTTTGGTGGACAATTGATGATGTTCGTCTGGGCTGTGATGCTGTGTGGACTCACAGGTGGATACCGGCATCTTGGGGAAATTAACTGTCTCTGAAATATTGGTCCACAAGTCCACATGGTTTCACAATCCAGAAGAACATAACTGACATATTGACCGCTGTCACAACCTAAAGTCTGACACTGTGGTGGATTATTCACGTCTCTTGATACTTCTCTTATATGGCAAAGCTTTACCCGATGCCTTAACCAAGAGAATGGGAATTTGTGGTTCCACAAACTTCAAGCATTCTGGCATTTCTATGTTAAACAAATCATTCCAGATCTCAATATTGTTATTATACTCAGGTTATAATTTGCTGCAAAATTTATTCTTCGGTTAAAACACTATAGCGTTATTAAAAATTATATACAATGCCTTCCACACACATAAAACATACACACAGAATACAGTTGAATTACACATAGCATTCTCATATAAGTGTACATACAAAAGATTCATAGTAAATTACAGCAGTAATATTAAATAAGCAATACTGACAGTTACATTGGTGAGATTCATAGCAAATCCTTTCTCATACATAAAATTCTAAATACGTAATTTAAAATACACTAATTCTTCTGTTGCCATTGACACAATATATTATTAGGTGGGAAGCTTCAAACAAAACTGTGCAGATAATAATGTTTCACTCTGTCATATGCAGGTATCCAGAAACTTATGAGCGCTGCTGCAGTAATGTCTTGAAGTTTTTTCATAACATACCTGCTAATAGAAAAATTCACTGTAGATTGTCATTTTATAACGTTCTACTTTACGTCAAACCCTTGTTTATTCAAACTTCATTCACCTTTGAAGACGACCATCTCCAGAGACGTAGCACAGCGTAGTGTAGTAGACACAGACAGACGTTTCAGAGCCACTTAATGCCCCTATCACTACTTCACCAGTCAATGTCTACCAGAATACACCATGCTACATCGCTATATCTTCATACGCATCACCATGAGAAACTCAAATCTCACTTCCATTCACCTTTATGTAAC